TATATATATATATATATATATATATATATATACAAACCGGATTCCAAAAAAATTGGGACACTAAACAAATTGTGAATAAAAACTGAATGCAATGATGTGGAGGTGCCAGCATCTAATATTTTATTCAGACTAGAACACAAATCACAGATCAAAAGTTTAAACTGAGAGAATGTATCATTTTAAGGGAAAAATCTGTTGTTTCCAAATTTCATGGCGTCAACAAATCCCAAAAAAGTTGGGACAAGTCCATTTTTCCCACTGTGTGGCATCCCCCCTTCTTCTTACAACACTCAACAGACGTCTGGGGACAGAGGAGACCAGTTTCTCCAGTTTAGAAATAGGAATGCTCTCCCATTCATGTCTAATACAGGCCTCTAACTGTTCAATCGTCTTGGGCCTTCTTTGTCGCACCTTCCTCTTTATGATGCGCCAAATGTTCTCTATAGGTGAAAGATCTGGACTGCAGGCTGGCCATTTCAGTACCCGGATCCTTCTCCTACGTAGCCATGATGTTGTGATTGCTGCAGAATGTGGTCTGGCATTATCGTGTTGAAAAATGCAGGGTCTTCCCTGAAAGAGATGACGTCTAGATGGGAGCATATGTTGTTCTAGAACCTGAACATAGTTCTCTGCATTAATGGTGCCTTTCCAGACATGCAAGCTGCCCATGCCACAAGCGCTCATGCAACCCCATACCATCAGTGATGCAGGCTTCTGAACAGAGTGTCGATAATAACTTGGGCTATCCTTGTCCTCTCTGGTCCGGATGACATGGCGTCCCAGTGTTCCATAAAGAACTTCAAATCGTGACTCATCTGACCACAGAACAGTCTTCCATTTTGCCACACTCCATTTTAAATGACCCCTGGCCCAGTGCAAACGTCTGAACTTGTGGAGCTTGCTTAGAAATGGCTTCTTCTTTGCACTGTAGAGTTTCAGCTGGCAACGGCGGATGGCACGGTGGATTGTGTTCACTGACAATGCTTTCTGGAAGTATTCCTGAGCCCATTCTGTTATTTCCTTGACAGTGTCATTCCTGTTTGAGGTGCAGTGACGTTTAAGGGCCCGGAGATCACGAGCATCCAGTAGAGTTTTACGGCCTTGACCCTTACGCACAGCGATTGTTCCAGATTCTCTGAATCTTTTGATGATGTTTTGCACGGTTGATGACGATAACTTAAAAGTCTTTGCTATTTTACGCTGGGTAACGCCATTCTGGTATTGCTGCACTATATTTCTGCTCAACAATGGTGGAATTGGTGATCCTCTTACCATCTTGGCTTCTGAGAGACACTGACACTCTGAGAAGCTCTTTTTATACCCAATCATGTTGTCAATTGACCTAATTAGTGTTAATTGGTCTTCCAGCTGTTCGTTATATGCTCAATTTCCTTTTTCCAGCCACTTATTGCTACTTGTCCCAACTTTTTTGGGATTTGTTGACACTGTGAAATTTTGAATCAACATATTTTTCCTTTAAAATGTTACATTTACTCAGATTAAACTTTTGATCTGTCATCTATGTTATATTACAAATAAAATATTGACATTTGCCATCTCCACATCATTGCATTCAGTTTTTATTCACAATTTGTTTAGTGTCCCAACTTTTTTGGAATCCGGTTTGTATATATATATATATATACATAAACTCTTCCCACACTCTTGCAATATTCTAAACATCGTTTCTAAACACTAAACGCTCTAAAAGAGTACGTCATAATTTCAGCTCTCTGCCATCTGCCAGCGCTCTCAGCCACACCCACTTCTACGCTGCAGAGCGGAGATCTGACATATTGCAGAAGCTTTTTCTGCAGCTTCGTCTGCACAAAGGTGCAGCAGGTGCTAAATAATTTAAAATAATTAATTTCAAATTAAATTCCATGCCAATCGTGCAGCTTATCCATCAATCAGCCAATTGTGTGTCATGACCAATCTTATTTTGAAAAACTGCAATAGAGCGAATCCGCAAAAAACGTGCCGCGTAGTAGCGAGGGACTACTGTATAGTATTTATCTAAGGTTTTGCTAATTTTAGTGACTGTATCTTCTCGCTAAGTTCAGATAATGTTTGGCCTTTTTGTTAGCTCTATTTTTAGGATATAGTTTTGTTAATTTCAGCTTTTAGTTACAGCTCTAGGTCTTATGTAGCATTTACCTACTCTTAGCTTTTGACTGTGGTTCAGCTAACTTGAGCTTCTATTCTGCTTGTTTCAACTTTTCTCCGCCTCAGCAGTCTTTCAGAGCTTTCTGCTGCTTTTTAGGGGGTTTTTTCAGTTCAGAAGGATTTTGTTTCACTCTGATGCCACTTCCTGTCTCACCTGTCCAGGTGTCCCATGAGGTCCGCTGTCTTTCTCCAAGTTCGATATCCAGGCTGCAGCTCTGGTTCTGGGAGGTCCAGCTGGATGAGGAAATAAAGAGAAAATAAAACATGAAATGATCAACAGTGGTGAAACTATTTCAGTTTAGACTTTATCCTTTAACAGGAAGTCGAACTCATTCTGACTGAATCCATCAAAAACATGAACAGGAAACTCATCTGTATTGGACCGGTACTGGACTGTGTTTACACAGATCACTTCATCATCATCAGAACATGACGAGCTGTGATCAACAGGAAGTGAACGTCGTACCGCAGTTGTCCCACGCATCCAGTTCGGTTACGTCACAGTGCCGGACCCAGGCTGGGTACTTCAGGTCCGGCAGGCTGCCGATCTCAGACCAATCCATTACGGACTTGTTGGAGGTCAGCCAGCGAGGGAGGTGGAGGTCTGCGGCTCTATGTGCAGACTGACAAGACAGGAAGAGACTGAGTATGGTTCTACAGAGACCGGTAACCAAAACAAACGGATCATAAAACAATTATTTATTTATTAACCTTTATTTAACCAGGCAAATCCCATTCAGATCACAGATCTCTTTTGCAAGGGAGGCCTGGGCCTGAAGGCAGACTAACATGCATGTTTTTGGTCTGTGGGAGGAAACCGGAGTACCCGGAAAAAACCCACACAAGCATGAGAAGAACATGCAAACTCCACACAGAAAGACCCCAGGTCCAACCGGGGATTGAACCCAGGACAATAAAGCAATCAAAGTTAATAGGTGAGATAAAATAAAATAAAAACCTACAGAAGAGCCAGGAGCTGAGGCAAACAGGTCCATGTTTCTTCTACACCTAAACCAGAGCAGACAGTAAACAATTAACAAATTTTATACAGAAAACAACAAACAACACGAGAGGAACCATGTTGAGTCAGAACCCCTGTGTTCAGGTCCGAACCCCATCTGAGAAACTCTGATCAGATCTTTAAAGACGCCTGAACCTGGAGCTGCTGGGATCAGAGTGCTGGTTCAGGTGGACTGGGCCAGCCTGGTTGATGCTGAGCCCAGTTCTGGTTTTGTGTACCAGCCTGGTGGAGGAGGAGCGAGGCTGGGAGGTTCCGGACCGAGACAGGAGGCCTGAGGTCAGGGGATTAGAGACATCCTGGTTATTTATATCACCTTTAGTCTAAAAACAAACCGTGGTGCATTTAAAGCACGGCAGAAACCCGACGGTGTGTTCAAAGACCTTGTAGGAAGGCAGACGTGTGGGTGACGGGCATTGAGCCGTCATACGAGATGGACAGAAGCTCGTCTGTTGTCATGGAGAGCCGGTCGCTGTTGCCATGGTGAAGGAAGGAGCTGACAGGGAGTTTCAGGAAGTCCAGCTCCCTGTCGGTCAGACGCTCCCTGAGAACTACAGGCAGAAAAAAAAATGCCTTACAGCCGAGTCAAAACTTTCAAATAATTTGTTTTTACTGTACAAAAATGTAAACAGGTTCGGTCTGAAAGCTTTCAACACTTCACTAGATTTAAAAGAAAAAGCTGTAATTATTTCAGAAATTTAACTTTAATTCTTCTTCTTTCAGCTTTTCCCTCTTCAGGGTCTCCACAGCGAGTCCTCCTCCATCTTACTCTGTCCTCTGTGTCCTCTGTCCTCACTCCATCTACCTCCATGTCCTCTCTAACTGCATCCATACATCTCCTCATTGTCTTTTTCCTGGCAGCCACATTTCTAACATCCTTCTACCACTAAAACACCTGTCCCTCCTCTGGACATGTCCAAACCATCTCAGTGTGTCCTCTCTAACTTCATCTTCCAGTTGTTCAACCTGTGCTGTACCTCTGATGATCTCATTCCTGATCTTATCGTCCTTGTCTCTCCTAAGGAGAACTTCAACATCTTCATTTCTGCTGCTTTCAGGTCTGTCTCCTGTCCTTTTGTCCATGTCTGTCTCCAGACCATACAACATAGCTGGTCTCACCACTGTCTTGTAAACTTTTACTTTGACCTTTGCTGACACCCTTTTGTCACAAACCACTCCTGAAACTTTTCTCCATCCACTCCATTGGATTTAGAGCTGCGATTTCTAACCCGAGCCCGGGCCAGTGATGTGCTTGATGGGCGGGCCGGGTCAGTCTCGAGCTTTTGATGCGGTTTTAAAATGGGAGAACTCGCTCTACAAAGACAGCACGGTGAAACCTGCTGATGTGTGTCAGGTGCACGCTCATGTCCGACCAGCCAGTTGAAAGAGGTAAAAAAACGTGTTAAGCTTCAGATGGACAACGGGATCATCAGCCGCACGCGTCCGCTGACCAAACGGTTGAAAGAAGTAAAATAAAAAAGTCCTGTTAAGCTTAGACGGATCAGCTGATCACTGGCCGCGCGCAGCTCCGCATCCTGCTGTCACCTGCGGTGAAGGAGGTTGCAGCACCAAGCTGAAGCGAGCAGCGCGTTCAATTAAAATAGCATTGTTCTATATTTTTACAAATAATTTTGCTCTGAAAATATATTTTTTAATCTCTATAATAGCCTATCTTTAGCGTTGATTTTTTAGGCCATTCATTTCGTTCGTGAATATTCATCTGGTGACATTTTAATAAACAAGAAATCTGATATCTTCCTTTCTTTGAAATATGTTTTTAAAATATCATAAACTGATTTGCTTACAAAAGCAGTAAAAGCTTAATTTAAAAAGTCAGTCTTTTTGTTTATTTTTGGTTAGGACCTGTAATTACAGGTAAATTGGTCTCGGAAAAAAATGGCTATGGGATGGGGCCAGGTCAGGTCGGATTCTTTAGGCCCAAATGTAACTAATTGGATTCCAAACCAGCCACTACGGAGGACAAGCTAGTGTATCTCTGGTTCTGGTCCCAAGCCCGGGTAAATGGTGAGGGTTGTGTCAGGAAGGGCATCTGACATAGAACACTTCTGCCAAAACTATAATTCAATTCAGTTTATTTTTAAAGCACCAAATCACAACAAAGTTGTCTTGGGGACTTTACAGGAACATTCACATAAAGCCAGTTAGTAAAGTTCTCTATCTAAGGAATCCAACAGACAAGATGAATCTTGGCTTCGTTGCAGTCTCCCATCCTGAGCAAGCACAGTGGAGACAGTGGGAAGAAAAACTCCCTTTAACAGGAAGAAACCTCCAGCAGAACCAGGATCAGGACAAGAGACCATCTGCTTTGACCGGCTGGTTTGAGTAATGCGAGTTCATTAAACACTTTGAACTTTAATTGTGAATTCAGATAAATTTACTAAGAAAAAAAACAATAGCAACAGAACACTTTATAGTACAAATGAAAGAAATAAAATGGAATAAAAGAACAAAAATCACTGTAATCATACAATTCAATTCAACAATACTTTATTAATCCCAGAGGGAAATTAAATGTTGTAACGCATCAGCCTGGTTTCATTAGAGTTGTTACAGATGCTGATGACTGTACCCCAACTTGTACCCTGTGATTTTCATTTGGTACCTGTGGGGTACAAACATGTCACAACTCTGCACGTGGCAGAGTCAGAGTTTCTTTATTGTCATTCGCACCTCATGTGGTACATGTGGTGGAGCGAAATTATGTACACAGGGTCCCAGTTACATCCACCAATAAAATGTAAAAGAAAAACAGTAATAACATCTAAGATATGAACTAATAAAAACATCAACTAAATATACACTAAGCACTCATAACATAAAACTGAACATCAGCACAAACATGAACATGAGTCTGTGAGCAGATGTGCACGCATGAACACATCAACAATGAAACAGATCAGCAGCAACATGAAACAGATCAGCAGCAACATGAATTAAATCAGCAGCAACATGAAACAGATCAGCAGCAACATGAATTAAATCAGCAGCAACATGAATTAAATCAGCAGCAACATGAAACAGATCAGCAGCAACATGAAACAGATCAGCAGCAACATGAAACAGATCAGCAGCAACATGAAACAGATCAGCAGCAACATGATATGGTTTTTCACAGTGATTATTCTAGTTAGAGATTCATGAGTCTAACAGCCTCAGGGTAGAAGCTGTTCCTCAGTCTAGTGGTTCTACACTTAATGCTCCTTAACCTCCTTCCTGAGGGGAGTGGGGCAAAAAGTGTGTGTGCTGGGTGAGTGAGGTCCTTCATGATGCAGGTGGCCCTCTTCCTGCATCTGGAGGTGTAGATGTCTGTGATGGTGGGGAGACTGACTTGTGTACTGATTATGAATCAAGCTGAACCACGATGATGAATAATAACAATAACAACAACAACAACAACAACAATAAAAATAATAACAATAATAATAATAATAAGCAGTACGTTGATGTCCCCCTCTCTGAGGGATCTGAACAGTGAATGTTTGTAGTTCTGCAGATGAGTGTTTTTCTGGACTGGAACTGAACAGAGAATGAAGTAAACCTAAATGTTTTTGGTGAAAGAAGATGTTCAAGTGGAGGACTTAATGTGGAGGAGAACAGAGGGAGGCGCAGAGTTACGGATCCTAGAGGAGGGAGACATTTATCCACTACCAGGCGTATGGAGGAGCTGTGGGGGGGGGGGGGGGGGCTTTGGCCAACACAGATTAATCTTCAATCACCCCAATCATTTGAGGAAAATACATTTTTAAGCATTATGACAACTAAAAAGCATAGTTTCTTCAAATAATTGGGCTGGGGTGGCAGCCTTCTTGGATTATGACATGGTAACCCAATATTTGATGGTGACCTTTGTTATGCCTGATGTAGCCACACACCAAAATGGAAGTGGGATTCCTTATTTTTCACGTTCTCATGCTCACAACATGGGCAGACGAACGGAGGGTGTTTCCTGGTCCCCCTCAATGTCCACAATGGGACAACAAACCAGTTCTGCTGGTTCAACTGTTGGACCCAAAGCAGAGAAAGAAGAAGAGTGCAACAGTTTGTGTTTGAAAGGCACAGTGAGTCGTACCGTCTCTGTTTCTGAGCGAGCCCACTCTGGGTGTGGTCGGAGAGGATGGCGAGTCGCGTGGCAGAACCAGAGAGCCCGTCAAAGACTGGCAGTTCTGACAGCTCTTCTCAAAGTCCGCAATGTAGGCGTCCAGAGCCGCCGAGGCTGAATCATAGTCCTGCAGTGGATCAATATGGAGCTTTAGGTTTGACTTTTGTCCATGCCATCAGAATATTTAACATATTTCACAATAAAAAAAACTTTATGGTGCTTTTATCTGAAGATGGAGTGACAAGGCGACAGCATGGACAACCTCCAACCTTCACTGTTCATCAAAAACAAAAAGAAAGAAACGAAAAAAGAACCTTGTTTCTGTATGTGAAGGATGAGCTGAGCTCAGGAGGCTGCAGGTCGCTCCTCAGGTGACCCGAGCTGGAGAGCAGGGATGTCACGGTCGACTCCGGAGACAGACGGTCCTCAGCCAGGCTGCTGGACTCCATGCTGGCAAAAACAAGAAACAATCTGAGGGTGAGGACTTTTCTTTCTGTTGTACAACAGCTGCCGTGTTTGGGTCATGGTCCTGTTGGACCCAGTTTGGTCTAAGCTTCAATCTTTTGGTCTCCAGAAGAGTTCTGGTACGCTCAGTGACTGACAGAGGCCAAAACCATCAGCCCTCCACCACCGTGCTGACAGCTGGAGGAGCCGTTTGATTCGTCAGCACAGTTTTTAATTCAATTTAACTGGTAATAACAAATAATTATTGTAACAAATTAATAAAGGTTTATTTCTAAATGTTTAATCTGAATTAATTGATTATTATGCTTCTTATCATTCATCAAAGAGCATTTGCTCCAATTTTTATGGAAAATCTAAAATAATATGCATTATTACTGAAATTCAGTGTATTATACAGTAGTTGTTCCAAAATGTTTCACGTATAACACAGATACAAGTTCTTGATATCAGTTAAATGTTATTTAAAACTGTCTTAATTCAAATGCATCGTTTTAACATAAACCTCCTCTTTGTTGTGTCAGCATACCTGCTAACTAAAAGCAGTAAACAACAAGAAAAGACTCTAACGGAGTTAAATCAGGTCCTCTGGACTGATTTACAGTAACTCTGTTAGATGCTCTTTCTTAGTAGTGAGCATGCATCAGGATAAAGAAACAAAGATATGCATCATTGTTTATCTTTATAAAACACCATATTCATAAAAGGCCATGTTGTTTGCTAACTTTAAGAAACATTCAACAAACTGATACAAATGAAATCATTGCAAGTCAAACGAAGTCATTTTGGGTTAACTTATTTTGTATGATGAAATGAATGTTTCAGTCTTTCTCCCTCCTTAGATGCATTAATCTGTCCTCCAGCTCTAATGTTAAAAATCTTGGTGTTATTTTTGATCAGGACATGTCTTTTATCCCCCACATTAAAAACGTTACTAGAACCTCCTTCTTCCATCTGCGTAATATCACTAACATTAGAAACATGTGATCTAAAGATGATGCAGAAAAACTGGTCCATGCATTTGTCACGTCTAGACTGGACTATTGCAATGGTTTATTATCTGGGTGTCCAAATACTTCTTTAAAACGTCTTCAGTTGATCCAACATGCTGCTGCCAGAGTCTTAACTGGAGTTACTGGGACCAACTTCCAGTTTCTGTCCGTGAGGCTGACACATTACCCAGTTTAAGACTTTCCTTTCTCATAAATCCTATAGTTAGGGTCGGTTTGTTATGCTGCTATAGACTTAAGACTACTGGAGGACAAACTGACCTCATGTCCTTAAATGAATTGTTAAAACTGAAGTTTTTATTTGATACTATTTCTATCTTAACATGTGATTCTTGACCTGCCATTGTGTATCTATTCCTACCAAAGCCATCCAGTGGAAGCAGATGTCCTCTTGCCCTGAGCTGGTTCTGATGAAGTTCCTTCCTCATGAGGGAGTTTTTCCTTCATGCTTGTTCAACACGAGAGTTCAGAGATGGAGTTAGACTCTAAGCTGCTCCTCACATTAACAATGTTACATTATTATTTATAGAAGAATGTTTGTGTCCAGTCCCTGAGGCGACTTCTCTTGTGACTTGGAGCTTTAGAAATGAACTGAACTGAATTTTAAAACATCTAAATTTCAAACATTAACTATGCTAAAACTCACCACAGCCGTGAAATAAACCGAGCAGAGCAGCGAGGCTTGGAGGGATTTTTAAAATAGGTCAATTAAATATAAAGCAAAATAACAATTCTGCTCCAAAACGTCTTCTTTCCACGTCTTCAGTGCTGGTACAGACGGATAGTCTCCCGGGACAGTTAGCTGCTCTCGACTCAGAGTAGCCTGGCGGCGCCACGATGACGTCATCACAACACTTCCGGGTTGTATGTTTGTTTTTAGAACTCTTTATTAAGTTTCCATCAACAGTGCTCACATTTGTCAGCCAGGGGTATATTAACGGGTACAATTAAGGCAAGTATAAAAGAAGAACAACACAATCTGTTTACAGGTTATATAGATATATTCACATTAAGTTTTTTCTTCAACTGAAATGCTTTTCATTGCCATTTTGTTTTCAAGCCCCTTAATTAGGGGTGCTGTATAGGTTGTAGCAGAGCCCTATACAGAGAGAGCTGCGACTCTGAACTCGCCGATACGCGTCACGTGGTTCATGCAGCTCCAATAGTTCCAAACAGTTCATCCTGTCAGTCAGTGTGAGGCTGCTGGTGCAACACAACACAAACATCCACTTTTCTTACTTTACCTGTGTCTCAGTAATTATTGAGCAGTAACGAACTGATTACTGATTATTTCACAAACTATGCATTTTATCAAAGCATTTTTAGAAGCGGCTGATACATTTATCATTAAATTTTAGAAGGAAACGAGACTGCAAACACATATTTGTTAGAATTTTTTTTATATGCAATACAATGATCAATATAGCCATATCAGTGTTTTATAACGTTACACACGATAAATAAAAGATCAGAGTAACTCCTGTTATAAAGCTGGTTCTGATGTTCTCTGCAGGATAATGCTCCACCTTGTCCTCCAGCAGTTCAGATCTGCTCCAGCTTACCTCAGATCATCTGGATGAATTCTTGATTTCTATAAAAGATATTAATTCAACCTTTATTTAAACAGGTTCGTCCCATTGAGCCACGAGGACTCATTTACAAGAGGGACTGAATATAATTGTTGTATATCCTGATGCATGCTCAATAATCCAGGTAGAAAAATCTAAAAAAGTTAAATCTGGTCCTCTGGACATTCAATAAAAACAAAACAAAGCAAAAAATATAGAAACGTTTCGTCTCTCATCCAAGAGACTTCCTCAGTCTGAGGTGCTGTATTCAGCTCAGTCTCTTAAATAGCACCTTCTCAGAGTGGATCAAAAAGTTTGCTGCTGACAACCAGAACCAGCTGATCACATGCTCAAGAAGGACCATCAGCCTAACAATGGATCATTAGCACCTGATGGCTGTTTACTGTTCACAGAGGGCTGAGTGATACTAGCAATCACAGCATTGTAAGAGGGGGACAGTTGAACCTGGAGGCCTCCACCCCTGTTTAATGATGGACGGTTTCTTTTCACAAAGATGGCCTCCTTTACTCCTCTCTCAAACCATCGTTCCTCTCTGTCCAGGATGTGAACTTCATCCCTGAAAGAGTGACCGCTGGCCTGGAGATGAGTGTAGACCGCAGAGTCCTGGCCTGATGATGTTGATCTTCTGTGCTGGGCCATCCTTTTGGCCAGTGGCTGTTTAGTTTCCCTGATGTAAGACTGATCACCCTCCTGACACTGAACAACATACACAACATTGCTCTGTTTGTGCCGGGGGACTGGATCTTTGGGATGAACCAGTCTTTGCCGTAATGTATTTTGGGGTTTAAAAGCCACTGGGACGTTATGTTTAGAAAATAAACGTCTCAGTTTCTCTGATACTCCCTCAACATATGGAATGACCACTGGTCTGGGTCTGGGTTCCTCCTTTTCACCTGATGGCTGACTGGAGTCCTGTTTGGGTTTCTTCTCTGCTTTCAGGAAGGCCCCGTTAGGATATCCACATTGCTCTAGAGCCTGTCTTGTGTGGGATTTCTCCTTCTGCCTGGCTCCTGAGTTAGTGGGGACGCTGTCTGCTCTGTGATACAGAGTCTTGATAACTCCTAACTTGTGCTCCAAAGGGTGATGGGAGTCAAACTGCAAATACTGGTCTGTGTGGGTGGGTTTGTGGTACACCTTGGTTTGCAAAATTCCTCTATCAGAGTCGAGATGTATTTATCCACAGAGTTGATGTGGTCAGTAAAATGTTGGACTTCCTGAGATTTAATTTTAACCCAGGTGTCGTCAACATACCTGAACCAATGACTTGGTGGTGTCCCTGAAAAGGACGTCAAGGCTCTCTTTTCTACCTCCTCCGTGTACAGGTTGGCAACAATAGGAGAAACTGGAGACCCCATAGCACACCCATGTTTCTGCCTATAATATTGCTCCCCATATGTGAAGTAGGTTGACTGCAGGCACAGTTTCAAGAGTTGACACAGTTGTTCTGTAGAAAGTGTGGTCCTGCTGCTCAGAGTGGTGTCTGATTTTAATCTTAAACTGACCACCTCTACTGCATCATCAACAGGAATGCACGTAAAGAGTGATGTGACATCAAAAGAGACCATTGTTTCATCAGTCTCCATGATGACATCCCTCACCTTGTCCACAAAGTCCATGGTGTTCTGTATGTGGTGTTCTGAGCTGCCAACTAAAGGGATGAGTACAGACGCCAGATATTTGGAAACATTGTAAGTGACAGAGTTAATCATGCTAACAATAGGTCTTAAAGGTACACCTTGTTTGTGGATTTTAGGTAAACCATACAGACTAGGTGTGGCCTCCCCTGGGTACAGTCTGTGGTACAGAAAACGGTCAATTATCAAGATCGGTTTAACGTTGACCCCCAATTGGCAGACCAAGAGAAGTAAGGACACGGAAACAAGTCAAAAGGTACGTGATAATTTATTTACAGGTGCAGAATAAAAACTTGAGCAGCTGAAAGGGAAGATGGAGAAATGGTGAGTATAATCATCCTCATGGCAGGTTGTTGATTTGATTTGTAGGATAAGGTTGATCTTACTTTGTTGTTTGTAGAAGGAGACTGAACGAGGAGAAGGAGGAAGATGGTTGGGTGAGAGAGGAGCAGGTTGACCCAGACGGAACGAAGGCTGAAGTGGAGGATGGAGGAACACCGTGAATCCACAGGAGCGTAATCCAGTGGTGAGAGGTCCTGGAGAGAACCTGATGAGCCAAGCCGTGAAAGGTCCAATGGCAGAAGATGTCCCAGCACTGGAGAGGTGCCAGGCAGCTGCTTAAGTAGCAGTCCTCCCAGAGAGGCAGCAGGTGAGTGGAGTTGAGCTGATTAGCTGTGGAGGGAAGGTGAACAGACAGACAAACAAAAACCCCAGAATCCCACATCAATAGCCTTGTCCTGTTCCAAAATTTTCAGGCAGTCTATCAATTTCTTCTTGTAACCACTTCCTGGATCTCTTTTCAGAGGTTCATAAGTGGTTAAGTCACTAAGGAGTGTCATAACTTTCTCATGATAGTCTTTCTGGTTCAAAATCACTGTGCACCTTCCTTTGTCTGCTGGGAGAATGATGATGTTTTTGTCCTTGCTAAGAGTGGTGAGTGCGTCCCTCTCCTCTCTACTGATGTTGGAAGGTGGTGGTTTGGCATCGCTGAGGCAGGATGAAACTTTGATTCTGAGCTGTTCTGCTTCAGCCTCTTTAATTTTGTTGTTGCGGATGGCTGACTCAGTGGCTGTGATCATCTCCACCATGATCTGACCAGTGATCTGACCAGTGATCACACATGTTGTTCTAAATTAAACTTTGGTACGAACAGTGTTAAATAATTCATGTCATATTTTTATTGAACAATAATCTTCATTCTAACAGTGACGTTGTAATTTCAGAGACTGAGGAAGAAACAGAAATGAGGCGAGTGAGATGAGGGAAAGATGAAAATGTGTCCTCAGAGGACGGGGACATGTCAGGATCTGATGATCCAGGATCAACAGGACCAGGAGGATGGATCAACAGGACCAGGAGGATGAATCAACAGGCAGTCAGTGAACAGAGATGAACAACCTGAGGAACAATTAGAACAAAAAAAAAAAA